ATATATCAAACTGCTTGTCCATTAGGACAATCCTGGGAACTATCCTGGTTCACACCAAGGATGTTCAGATTCTTATTAGGGTCAGAGAAAGAATTATTGTCCAAACTACTTTTGGGCTTACTTTGGCAGCTAGAGCAAGCCTTGCCTTGCCAGCAGAGATAAAAATGGCTCAGCTGGAATAAAGGAGTCTCCATTTTTCTGTCCTCCCACCACATCTATGAGCACCATTGCCCTCTGCAGGTGAACTGCTCGGATGTGTGCAGTCCCATTGCCCTATATTGGTTATATTATGTTACACAAAATAGCTATAATGACTAGGGACCTACCAAAGTCATGATTGTGTGATTTTCATGGAAACCACAATTTCGAGTGAGCTCTATGAAAAAAGTGCAGGTTCTGAAAAAAGCCCAGCCCCTTGCTGCTGATTGGCTACAAGGTTATCCATCATATAGCCCTGCCTCTCTCCGCCAATTGGCAGCAAAGGTTGAGGCTGCATGAAGGACAACCCTTGCAAACAATCAGTGGCAAGAGGCAGAGCCATATGATGGACAGCCCTCACAGTCAATCAGTAGGGGTGGGAAGGGGGCACCAGGGCCCTTTAGCCAATCAGCGGCGTGGGGGGAGGGGCGGAGACCACGCTTACTCCATGAAAATGGGCGCCAGCCCCAGGATCTGCCCATGAAATCAGCTGGCCACTGCTTCAAGTTCGGTAGACCCCGTAATGATGACATCCCTAAAGCTAGTCTGACTACATTTCCTTTTAGTACCTGCAGCTTAACTTTGTAAGCAAGCCCCAACACTAATGCACAAGTGTGACGGCCATCACTTAATGCTTATTATTTATTGCAAGGAACTGTAGTAGGTTCAGCAACATATTCCTTACAAAGAACAGAGGACCTTTACCATGCCTCTCTCACCAAGTGCCTAATCCAAAGCCCACTGATGTCAACAGAACATTTCTACTAACTTCAGTTGTTTAAGGGCCAGGTCCCTTAACCTAAGCTCCTGGACTGATACGACTGCATTACACTAATTGGAAACATTTCATTACCATCACAAGGTACAATACAGACATACAGGTGGACCTGGGCTACACTTTTTGAGTGCTAATGTGCTAACAAACATATTCAGTTCCAGCCCAGTTGGACAACTGCATTTCTTGCAGTTAGCAACTACTAATGGGAAGTAATGTCACTAGTGTTAAATGCAAGCCACTAAAAATATGAAAATAAAAACAAACATCATTAAAAACACTTACAGTTCTACATAAGCTAGCAACAAACATCACAACAATGTAACTTTCCCTTCTACTCATCTGGAACTGGAAGTGTTTAAAATAAATACTGGTACATCCCCAACCTCGCATCCCCTTCCCTGACCTCCCAAGAAAGAGAAAAGAAAAAGAAAAGAATGAGGGAAGAAAATCTTTTGGAAAGCAGAAATACATTTGTTTCCTTTGCTTTTATTAAAAACAAATCAGCAGGCTTCCCTGAAGTAAATGAAGAATAGACAGCACAGCATTTTTGTGGTAAGGAACTGAGTGAGTGCTTTCTGGAACAATAAAACAAGCCATTTTAGCCACAATCTATTAGCCTCCAGTTTAGTTCAACAGGATATTGATCCTGGCTGAAGATACCAGAACTGTGATTTATTTTCTAATTAACAAGTTCTAATGTCTGATTCTGACAGACAAAATGTCTATCATCGCTGGCAACCACAAAAAACGCCCCCAAAACTCCAGGGTCTGGGTTTGGGTGAGAAAAGAGGATGGAAAAATGGATGAGAGAGAAAACATCTTGAAGAATATCTTTTGAGACAGGCGATCAGATCGTGTCCAGATTTACATAAGGAATAGAGATTTGATAACAACAGCCCTTTCCCCTACACAAACTAGCCCTTTCCCTATGGAAGCAACTGAGATAGCAAATCCACTTTTTGCTTTCCCGCATTTTAGCTGAAAGCTGAAAATGAGATCAGATTTTCCAGTGCTCATCATTTCTCTTTTCCAAAAGTACAGGATTAACAGAAACTGTGTGTGTGCGCGGACGCGCATGCACATGTGCATGTGTAAAGTAATTTCTGTACCCTATAATGTTTTTATGTTGTCCCACAAAGCAGAAAACGTGAGAAATCAAAAATCAACGTGTGATATTTCAGTTTTCTGAAACTGAACTTTGTTCTGTGCTGGAGAATGAAATGAGTCTGTCTCCATTTCTGTGGAATACATGCCTACGTAGCCGTTACAGAGGGAGTTGATGTACATATGGTAAAGAAAAAAGTTGGCAACAGAGACGCTTGCAACATAAGTGTAGTAAGATAATATTACTGAAGCAGTCATTCCATATACAGATTGAATGCTTCCTGAAATGCAGATTTACTACTGTCAGTCATTTTTATTATGGTCTGACGGGTCTCTCTCATACACAGACATACACACCATGATCAAGTACTCTCAGATAAACTGATCTGATATACCCACATAAAGAAAAGAAAATTAAAGTTGCATTCATGTCACCAAGTAGCAAAATCTTCCCTGGAGAAATAATCAGGTTTGTTATTGGTAAACATTCTCCCTCCGTGACCTTTCTTTAAAGCCTTGCTGCTGCGATGTCATGATGATATCTCTCTGTAATAAAATGGCCTTGCTCAAGGCTTCCTGCGGACACAGGTTATTGAGGAAAAGTGGGTGACATTAACTATTTCTGACTGGCCGTGGATGCCCAAACCACCACAGGGTTCTTGTCTCCTAGTCTAGGGCTCCTGTGGCAAGAATGGCAAACTAGAAACCTATTAACAGTCAAGGAAATCTAGAGTAGACTGCAGCTGGCATTAGAGAAAATGCTAATTTAATCCCCCGTGTGGAGGTGAAGATCTTTCAATACCACTTCTGTCCCAGCAGGTTCTTCCTCATTACTAGTATTGCAAAATGAGGTCCTGCTCTAGTAAGATGTTTATCTACCTAACTTCATGAGTAACTCAACTGCAACTTATGTGCCCGAAATTAGGCATGTACTCAACTTCCCTGCTGAATCCAGGCCATAAATTGTAGTATTTAAAGATGATGTGAATTTCTTCACTACAGATGGCTCTTGTACTTAATGTCACTCAGTTTACACTAAGTCCTCTCTGCATCACTTGCCTGGTGGGAAGTCCATGTACAAGACAACTTCAATACAACCCAGCTAGCGTCACCATTGGAAACCAGAAGCCTTGACGTTAACAGGATCATACTTCAAAAGAATATGCATGTTTGCAGATGGCAACAGGGTTCCTAATTACAGCTGCCTACTCAAACTGATATTCTACAACTATGTTCAGAGATCAAACAGCACTCCAAATACTTGCAGATAGATATTATACTAATAAAATGTCCATGTCATACATGTGGCATTACACATTCATTTATAATTCTGTAAGTATGATGCACATATACAAGTAATCCATATACTGTGGCCAAACTTTGAACAACTGAGTAACAAATAGGAACTATTTAAAACAATGTATTTTGATTCTGCATCTTGTGCCCTTAAAAAACACCCCACGCTAAATCTACAACATTCCTACATAAACAAAAACATTACTCCAATCCAGAACAACACTTACATATGGCTTATTTTTTAAAAACCTGCTTAACTACCTTTGGAGTGAGTCAATACAACTTAGGCACAAGCGTAAGTATTTTGCTAAATGAGGCTAAGTTTAAGTAAATGCTTACATGTTTTCCAAATCAGGGCTTTTTTTTTTTTTTTTTTAAATGAGGGTACACTCTGAAATAGGATGTGAAACATCTTAACATCTTCAGTGGTTGTAGCAATTTCTATAATTCAGTTTGCAACCCCTAAAATTCCTAGCATATGAGCCATATTCTCCTTTTGGCTTCAGTCAAATTACCCTGGATTTACACAGAGTGCCAGTGGTAGGAGAATCAAACCCTATGTATTTATTTTCTTCCTCTCAGTGCATAACTAATTCCCTTCAGCATCTTGACAACCACATCAGTACAGGGCTCTGAATACAAAAAGAATTATAATGATAATGCATCCAATAAATATACTTGTATAAGTATGCACAGAATTTCTTAACAGCACTCTATTCCACATCACAAGCCAGGATATAGAGAATTCAAAATATTCAGACCCCATCTGTGCTCCCTGCAGTACCACAGACTAGAGGGATGCGTGAAAAGAGTAACTATTCAATGCAAAGGGCCAATTCTACAATCGTCTGAAAGCAAAGCTCCCATTAAGAGCATAAAGGTTCTCAAATGGATCTCCAGAAACCTTAACTTCTATTTTGGAATCTAAGGAAACACTTCATAAAGCCCCGCGGATAGACAAGTTATAAGGTATGACCTAAGCACCACAGATGATAACTGTCTCCCTGACAGAATAGCAGCTGTATTTCAGTTCAGACATCTGGTACTTGACATCGTATCAGGTAAAAAAAATAGAATTTTCAACGAAGCTCTCAAAAAACTCACTCTTTTTTTAATTTCTTTTTAAGCTATAATTTTGTAGTGTGTTAAATTCATTACTTGTAAAACGCCATTGACTTTCACAGAACTGAAACAGCGTTAAAATGGTTATCTGAACCAAAAGCTTTTTATGTGCTTATTTTTGAAACTTTTGTCATTTTAGAGGAGGGTTTATTTAAAATACCTTTTGAATACCTGTTACTATTTAGAACATGGAGAAAAGGAAAAGTATCTCATAGTGTCTGAGTAAGATGCATGACAACAGATCTACAAATAAAAGTGTCCTCAAAACCTCTTTTTAGTTTGGTTCAAACAATGCTTCAAAAATGACTCATTCAACACAACTGCCATTATTTAAAGACAATAAGGTCAGCCATGCACAAATTTAGAGTACGCATCTTCTCAAATGGTTTAGAGTAACTCCTTACCCCCTCCTCCAAGCCATAATTAAAGAATGATACAAAACAAAGCAAACTTAACTCTTAACAAACCCTTAGCAAACTTAAAGCAATAAGAAGCCACCTACCCTGTGAGGACCACAACAAAATCCATCACATTCCAGCCATTTCGGAGGTAAGAGCCTTTATGAAAAACAAACCCCAGAGCGATGATTTTTATGCCAGCTTCAAAACAAAATATTCCAATAAAGTACGGCTCAGTGTCATCCTGCAAATAAGAGAAGAAAAAAAATACAACCCATCAGGACACATGCAGGAAAAAACATTTCTGTGTTGGCTTCAAGTTCTGCGCAACCAACAATAACACATTCAACTTGCAAGGCCTCCTACAATTTCTTGCTTACAGGGAAATCCATGTGTTTTTATGTTTACTAGATCTGTGTTTAAAAGTATTCTTAAATATTCCAGTGTTCTCTATATGGCATTTTGAATGTTTAGGAAACTTTCATTTTCTTTTATTATGAACATCTGAGCATGCAAGCTTTAGAAGCAAAAATTCTCATTAAAAAAAAAAAGAATTTAAGATTAAATATTTACCAAAAGCAAAATTTCAAATTTGAGATTTAATTGTAATATGAGAAGTTCTTTTGATGTTACTTAATTCCATAAGCCATCTATTTTGGAAACAGAAACAAAAGCTTAAAACCCACACAACTAGACAGTACAGCATGGATCGCAAACAGGGATTGAGAACTATTGGCAAATGAGCTACTGATTGCAACTTATTCCTGGAGAAAGATGCAAATACTTCTAATTGTGAAATAATTTGAGAATTGTGACCTGAGAATAAATAATTGATTTTCATAATTTTAAGGCAAATGCAACCAAAATTATTCATTGTGAATTTTTTTATCTGTATTGGATTTTGAAGTACCTCCCCACTTCTTGCACTATAATTTCTCTGCCTTTCATCAAAATAATGTATTCCTTCAGTTGTTCCTCATTACCCTTCTCTTCCTTGTCTCCATTACCTAAAAACTGTCCCTCATTTATTTTTGTTTGACTTGACACCTGACTCAAAATTCCCATTCACTTTATTTGGAGTTTTGCCCCATCTAGCACCACAAGACTGAAATCTTTACAGGGAGTTTGTTGATGGATTTAAACTTTACACTGTCAGTTCATGGGTGGGGACCATTTTTATTCTCTTTTTTTATTCAGCACTATATATATTTGTGGCATTGCCAATACTGAATCTTAATCTAGTGATTCTAAAATCTTACATAACTGCTAGAAGCTTACTGCCTGCTCCCAAAGGTGTACGTAGTTCAGTTTGAGAAACTCTGAACTCATCTGTATATCAGAACATTACCTTCGATGTGAAATAGAAATGACTGGTGCTGGAATTAAGACATAAGCCAGGAGTTAGAAAAAAGGAACAAAAGTAAAAACATTCATATAAGCTATACAACTGTCCCATTTTCTGAGTGGCTTAGGCCCACACTGCTTTGTGCATTTTAGTGCCTAAAACCCACCGATTTTAATGGGAATGAGACGCCAAAATACCTAAAGAATTCTGGGTCCTGGATACCTAAGAATCTTTGTACCATTGACTTTGAACAAATTTAATGCTCCTAACTCTTTAAGGGAGTTTAAAACATTGTATCCAGTGGGCACATCTACACATTCATTAATGTGCCATGGTTACTGCGCATTCAGTTTAGTATCTGTCATGTCAGGTACTAAATGCACCGTAATCAGCGCTACTGTGCATTAGCACAGATGAACATGTTTTAAGTGACATTCATGTGCATTACTAAATCTACTGCACGTTAACATGGTTTTTGCCAGCTGTGCTAATGATTAGCAGAATTAGTCGTCTGCGCATTATCTCAAGTAGATGTGCCCAGCGAGCGAGATTCCTGCCTAGTGCAGTGCCATCAAACCCTAGTGCAGTTCCACTGGGGGTAAAATCTGACTCAGTATATTCTGGGGCAGGAACAGCAGCACTTTAGGACTGAAAGATAAAAAAAATAAGGAAGTGAATTTAATACAAAAATGGACTTTGCAAGCCTGGCAATTCTGGCTCAGGTATCCAACCCAACCCCTCCATATGTGCTCACACTTTTTATATTGTACATACTACAAAAAGCCTTGTTCTTACCAAAAGAGGAGGTGGGAAAAATATCCCTCCCAAGCAGACGTACACAAAAGCAGCATTAGCATGCACCCACATTCAGCAAACTTCTCATAACAATCTGCACCCAACGTATTATTCACTGAAGAAATTTGCAAATCTTTGGAAACAGCAATTAAACCTAAAAAAAATCCTGAAACTCTCAAACTTGTATGCAGCACCCTCCCCACCCTTTACCCATAAAGAAATAATCCACACACAGATGGCTGTTCAGTTCCTGTTGTTAAGGGCATCGAATGTTTCAAGTTTTGAAGGAATCTCAAGCTTCTACATGATAAGACCTGTTCAGCTGCAGTTTTCCATCACAATTAAAGGATTTGGAGACTCAAACCCAACGGAAATAAAAGGAATTAACCATTTATATCCTCTAGGATTAGACTGAAGACATAATATGTAATTTTTACCCTGGGGTTCCCTCCTCCCCACTTTAACTGCTTTCATAATTTGAGAAAGAGCAGACTAGACAGAAGTTATGCTCCCTGCCCAACCCTTCTCTGCAGCCTTTATCTCTTCCAGCCCCCACTGCACTCTACAAATTATTCCTCCTTTAAAACAGAAAGCCCATGATTCCTTTGCTGTAGTGTATATGTGTTTTCCTTCTTTTACTTGAGAACAACCTCACAAGCTCTCCCACCCATCTAGCAATATGAGAAAACAGTGACATCCCTTTGCAAGTAGGGGATGCAGACTGCAAAATCCTCAGCATGAGAAATTATGATTTAAAGAAACATCCTTCTAACCAACTCTCTCCAACAGGAGCTATGCTTGTTTGAGGAAAAGAAACCAAGATGGAGGACAAGTCATTCCCAAGATCTGAATGAGCTTTGACCCATGTGAGTGGAAGAAGCAGGATGCACAGTCATCTGGGAATCACAATGGGGTCACAAGGAATAAAGCTGCCACATCACTCTCCTTCTTTGTGCAGCAGGGACGGGGGGGTCACAAATGACCCTCCCTGTATGTCCCTTTGGGCTTAGTCCTTTCTTCTCCCAGAAGAAAGGGCTTCCTTTTCTAACACCTAGCAAATAAATAACATCTTCTTGCTCTTCAAGCATGTCCCATGCCCCCCTTCAAAATCTGAATTCCATATGCCTCACTACTTTGGAGACTGCTGTCCTAAATTTTCCCCAGTACAAAATCTCTTCCACCCACTTCCTCCCACAAAATCTCCAAACTGGCACTGCCCTGACTGCTTCCTCATGAGCAGGAAGCCATATATACGTACGTACGTGTGTGTGTGTGTGTGTGTGTGTGTGTGTGTGTGTGTGTGTGTGTGTGTGTGTAAAATTTACTACAGGTCACATGTTTAATGAGCCATGTGCCCTTCTGATCATAAGGCCTAGTTTAAAGGGACCAGAGCTCAGAAGAGATACACTAAGCTGGAATGTTTGAATTCAGGAATTTATGGAATAAGTTGCCAAACAGGGAGAGGAAGACATAAGTCCTTGGCAGCTCCAGTGACAGAAAAAGATTTAAAGATAGGGTAATATACTTGTTTAAAAAAAAGAAAGAAAGAAAATAAAGCATCAGGACTGGGCTAAACTGCTGGAAGTTGCCTTCTCCAAGCTCACTATCATCAAATGCCACAGGGTCAGTCTAATGAGACCTCTTCTCTTGCTCCTATCCGACAACAGGAATGCTGCTGTCACTCAAGGAGAAGTCTTCAGGTCATTATGCAGCCCCAGTTAATCAGCCTTTCCCCTACGAGATGACAATCCACTACGAGCATCTGTATAAGCTCTGCCAGCAGGCTGCTAATTATGGCTGCAATCAGGCTTGAGATTGGGCCAGACCCTTTTAAGAAATAAAATTTCAAATGGGAAAACATTTATGATTCTGGAAATGGTTTCCCATTTGAAGTGTTATTTCATTACTATTCCAAGTCTACTGCCTATAACTTTCCTGGGGCTTAGGATGACACACCTAATAGGTTTGGGTGTGTTGGCAAACCAGAGCTTTGTTCAAACAGAGGTTAATGTGAGCAGCTCACATATGACTGCATTGAGCACCTGTGGCTCCGATAAAGAATGAAATCCATTAGCCAAGTGAAATAGCTGTCATGCTGAATAATTAGGAAATTGCCTATGCCCCTCCTCCATGTCAAAAACATCCAGGAAAGCCAACATTTTAGAGTCTTAAAGCAGTACACAAAGCATCAAAATATAGAAAGTTCTTGCATCTTAAAACAGAATAGGGACCAGAGGTAGGCAAGAAATAGCTTCCCAGTCTTGCAAAAAATAGTTAATTAATTTAACAACAATAACAGCAAAAGCTTTCACATTGCATGCTGTGATAAATTCAAAACTTTAACTTTGTCATGAAAAAAAACAGGGAGACCAATCCGACCTCGGGATTAGCAAAGCCCAGCGGATAGGGCACACAGCTGTCCTGCTACATTTGAGGTGACTGCAGTAAGCGGAAGGCTACTGGAGGTAAGAGAAAGATCTTTCCTGTTTGAGTTGTTCCACTTTGCATGAATCATTGCATATGTATTGGCCAAAGAAAGAGACACTACTGCTCAACAGTTAGGACACTCAGCTAGAGTATGAGAGAACCAGGTTCAAGTCTCTTCTCCAATAAATATTTGATTAATAGAAGAAAGTGAAACAACTACAACAAGAAAGATATGACACTCTAGCCAACAGCTCAAGAGCGGGGGCATTCACCTGCTGTACAAGATAGTTAGCTGTATGTCTGTTGTCTGAATCAGGAAAAGTAGCAACTTGAACCCAGATCACCTATGCCTCAGCTGTGTCCCTCACCCACTTGCCCTAGTAGTTATTCGGGGTAGATTGCATCAGAAATACCATTTTTAAACAATGAAAAACATTTCCGATGAAAGATTTTCTAGAACACGATAATCCTGCACAAACATTTTGGTTTTGACAAATCAATATTTCCCAACAAAAAATAATTTTATTGGAAAATTTCCAACCAGTGGACATTGGTTCCAACCAGTGTGGACAATATTAACACTGAAGCCCATATGCTCCACTCTCTTGTCTGGCACAAGAGAGAGCAAATCAATGTGTTATGCCCAAAAGAGCCTGCAAAGGCTACATAGAGAAGCATAACAAGTAAGAATTACATCTTGCCACCATGCAACTGCCTCCAGTTTTTGCATGCCATTTGCATGGCAGAAACACAAATTGTATGCAGTCAACAGAAGACATCATGGAAGATCCTTCATGTCCACATTATTCCATTTTTTTAAAAGCGTTAGTTATGCTGAAATGTTGCACATGTAAATGCCAATCTGTGCACAATTATTTCTTCCTATGTGTTGTATAAAGATTTGTGACCGTGGATGAGTAATGCAGCCAAAGACAGCACAGTCAGCTGAGCCGGTGGTGGTGGTAGAAACTGGTATCCCTCTAAACTGAGAATAACTATAGCTAGGTGGAAATCTGGCCCAGAAGCTATTCCACCTATATAGGCATCTAGGACTTGGCTTTCAATTGCCCAAAACTTACGCATCTCCCTCAGGAAACCAGTCCCACTCTACCTGTCCCATTCTCTCAAATTGCAACCTAGTGCATTCCCAGAGGACAATTCATTTCCCCCTTGCAGAGTCATGTAGGTCTTCCCATCTGAGAATGGGCAACAGGCAGTCTTATGTTCCAGAAGGTAATTTTATTCATTCCAGGAACATGCATGTGCTTCTTCCAGTTTTGCAATGAGCAGAGCTATGGGCAAACTTACATCATGTCAACATCCAATTTGATCCAACTTGCTAAGAATGGAGGCATCATGTTGTGATCCAGCTAACTCAGAGGGGACATCTATCAGTGCCTCTAACAGATTGATAGTACAAACTGCTATATATAAAGGAGAAACTGGGATGCTGCCCACCTTTTGACCAATAGCTTAATGATGACAGCATTTGCCCACGAGGTGGGAGACCACGAATCTATAGACAAACTCGCATCTCCTGCTTCCCAGGACAGTAGCCAAATACTCAGGCCATAGGCTAGTCAAAATTGACAGCATCCTCCACCTCTCCAGTTAAAACTGGACCACTGGGAAACAAGGAATGCAACTGTTACAGGACCAGAAAGACCCCAAGCAAAATGGACTGTGACTTATACCTGAAGGACTGTGACTCCCTAATGCGCAGCAAGGTAGGCACTGCCATGGGAGGGAGACCTGGCTTCTGGATCCTGTTCCCAATATATTCCTTAAACATTTTATCTAATAACTTTAATGCAATATGCACAAAGAATCCTAAGAGGAAGAACTAGCAGTCAGGACTCCTCTAGCTGAGTGCCCTAACGATTATGCTATCACACTCCCTCTTGCACTGTTTGTTATTTTATATTCAACAATCACCGATTATAAAACAGAAATGCTCCGGGCAGCAGGGACCAGAACAGGACCCTACTCCTAAAGGGCCATGCCTCTCCTCACTGCATAAGAATGACACTCTCATTTGCTCTGCATCTGGCTCTGTGACTTTTGCACTCCTTGTTGACCAGTGGCCCAGCTACAACAAGAAGAGCGGGACATGCTCTCATCTTGGCCCTTCCGAGTGAGGTCAGCCTAAAATGCACATCCCCCAGTTCCTGGACAGGTGTGGCTTACCATGAGGCTATCTGACTGAAGATGTGTGATACCACCATGATGCTTTATCTTTGTATTACCATGCTTTACCTTTGTATAATACAGCCTCTGCACATAGATTTTCTCCACATAAGGAATTAAGTATTAATGTGCATTCCCACGTGGAACTGGATCACAACAGATTGAAATGAAGTTAAATGCTGAGGTGGCCATATTGGATCGTCTCTGAGTACATGCAGTAGTAGCCTCGGTCTGCTCTCCTAGCAATCTATTCAGGGCAAGATGGTGGAGCATAAAGATATTTGGCACCTTAGCAGAATCGTAGCTGTTGTGCATGATGAAATTGTGTGCAGTTATTTAGATGCTTAAAGTTGCATACCCGGCACTTAGATCTCTTTGACATGGAATAAGATCTATGCCTTTATTTTTAGAACCAACAAAATATACATATTAACCAAAAAACAAAGAAATCCTGTAAAACTTTTTGCAATTCTTCCCCCGCTCCCCCCTTCACCTTTTTGAGCAGCTCTAGAAACTGAACTCATGCTGCACAAGGATCCACTGGACTTTCAGATAACTGGCCAGCCATTTTATCCCTTTACAGTATCATCTCTCTCTCGCATTCCCCAGAAAGTGGTGACACGCAAATCGAGCTTCTTGGAATCTGTCTTCAGGCAATGGCTACCCCTCTCATTTGGATTTTTTTTAAATTCATTTATTCATTTTTAGTAAACACAGGCAAAACCCTAAATCATTAAACCAAAAGGACCAATTTCTAGTCCTAATGAAGTCAAAAGTAGAACTCCTGCTGATTTGAATGGAATTAAGGTATGTTCCAACGTATGTGAAAATTACTGGGATTTTTCCCACTCAGCAGTTTATTGTGGATTCTTACCATTTTCAAAATGAAATAATTTACACTTTACATGGGAAAGAGGAAAGTGTTTTGGAGCTGTTGAAAGTCAACAGAAAATATTTCTCATTAGCAACGCTGGGGTTTTTTTGCAGCACACTTTGAAGACAGAAATATCATATGAAATTAAAGCAACACACAGGCAATCTTTATTATGACTCTAGTAGCGCTACAGGGAAAATGGCCTTATCAGGGCTGGCTGAGAGACACTGCTTTAGAATGCCACTGAGTCATACGCCTGGGGTGAATTCTTACCTCAGCAATAGGAAGAACTGGCAGTGGGGTAGGAAGGAACTGGGTGTGCTTCATGTCACTCAGCAGTGACTTTTCTGACTCAGTAAAAGAGTAACACTGACAGGAAATGAAAGGAGCCCTTACAAGACAGCATCTGCGAGACACAGCTTTAAAGGACAGAGTTAAAGCAATACAGGAAGGGACCAAAAAAGAAATTCTCCAACCTTCAGATTCTGGGTGCGGGGCTCTGTTCACTCTCCCCCACCCACATCCCCTCCTGCTGAATCTGGAGAATGATAGTGGTACACACGGGATTTGCTAACAGTGATGCCTGTGGCTTGAAATAATCCAGCATTGAAGTGTCTGAGGGTCAGGATTGATTATGAAGCCATTTTGTTCACTCAAACTTGTAATGATCACAGAAGAAAAATGTACTAGTCCTTGGTCTGTGCAGAGGCAAAACTCCCTTCGAAGTCATAACTCCTGCATCCCAGCCTATGCATTAATCAGAAAACCATCCTTCCCCAATTAAGACATATTAAGACCCATTATAATATACTGCCATATAATGGTAAAAAGACTGAGCATTATATATACACAAACGCAAGTTCCCACTTTTACTTTCCACTGTTAAACAAAAGATATTTTATAGAGGAAAAAAGAATATATATAAATTAGGAGACTCGCGGGCACCACCAAGATACATTCACTCAAGCAAGAGGTGCAAAATAAATGACTGGAGAGGCATTTCCATTCCTAGCACCTATTATTTTATATCTTGTATTAAAGAATAACTTGGCTCTTGAACCTTGCCCAGTGCCACAGACTATTTTGGAAACTAAAAGCTGCAGAGATTAGGAAATTGCAGCAACAATGGAACCGGGGCTCCTTAATTTCTCAGTTTTTGGCTTTAAGTCTAATCTTATTTTTGTTTGCGTAATTTAATTGATACATGTAAAACACATGTAGATTCAGATTTAGTCTTAAACCAAGCAAGCAAAAATTTCTATTCATTCTGGCCTGGAAGATGTTCCAGTTTGTTAAAAGAAACAAAAAATAAACCAAATATTGCTTTTATCCCCCCTAGAGTGATGACAAATGAAAGAACCGTTTTGAAGTTATTCTTGTTTTTGCTTCTGAAATAAGGTAATTGGACTCATTACCATAAAGCCTGCTGGTAAATTATTTTTCTTTGCAAAACTGTTTTCTTTTTGGTAAGAACATAATATTGTCTAATCCAATAAATTTCCATTGAAGAGTTTCCAGTATCCCTCAGTAAGAAGATAATATGAAGTATACAGAATGCCAAAAGGTTACTATATGCTACAACTTCCTGGGAAAACACCCAGGAGGGTCATTCAATTCTACATATAGTCCTAAAGACGTTAGAATTCCCTTTCTACCTTAGTCTCTAACAGCTTGAGTTTTCTGGTCCTCAAAGCATGCTGTAACATCTGGTTTTTTCCTGCTTTGACTCTAAGAAGAGAAGTTGGGCTGGCTGGTGTGGTGCAGAATTCTGCTGGAGACAGTCTGAAGAGTTGCAACCAGTTTGGGGTCAGATTTGCGTAGCCATGAGGTTGTTTGATAAGATGCAGTTTTAAAGTTAAGGATACCCAGAACACTGGGTGGTTGGGTGCTTGCTTTCCAAAGATGAGAGAAAAATCTAAATAAATGAAACTCACCAGTCTCTCCGACATGGGTGTCTTGTCTCCATCTGGTAGATGCTGCTCCAAAGCCAGCACGATACAGTTGGCTATAATAGTGGCTAAAATCATGTATTCAAATGGAGTGGGGGAGATTGGTTAAAGAAAACATCTTTAAACACCTGCAGATGTTGATCATTCGAATCCCATTCATGCACTATGGAGACCCTGTGGTTAAGGCCTCGCTCCTTTCTAACAAGGCTTCAGGAGATTTTAGGTTAGATATTAGGAAGAACTTTAGGTTAGATATTAGGAAGAATTACTTCATGGTAAGGGTGGCCAGAGCCTGGAATAGGCTTCCCAGAGAGGTGGTGCTCTCACCTTCCCTGGAAATCTTCAAGAGGAGACTGGATGGGCACCTGGCTGAGGTCTTGTGACCCCTGCCACCCCCAGCACTCCTTCCTGCCCATGGCAGGGGGTCGGACTCGATGATCTGTCTAGGTCCCTTCCCACGCATTGATTCTATGATTTTTAACAAACAAACAGAAAAAAAAAAAAGATCACACTGGTTGTTTGAAAATACAAATTGATGGGGTTTTCCCTTCTAGAAATTGAGGCGGTTTTCAACTCCCCCTCAGAGCCAAGGAGTTTGGCTTTTAAATAAAACTAAGGCACTTAAAAGTGTCCCAAAATGGATAGTAAAATTCGATGTCCTTGGCTGAAATATTGCTCAGTGATGCCACATAATTGAAATCATGAGTGTTGTATAAATAAGTAATAGTTTGGAAATCAAGGTTTCGGAGTCCAAAACGTGAACTGCAACTCCAGCTTACAGTGAACAATATTTTCAGTGTACCCTATAGGGTTGTATGGCTGCTGAAGGGACAATGTTTACTAATTACACATCATAGTGAACCCAACTGTAAATACATCTTCCCCCTTCGCTCTCTCCTCCGACGCGCACATGGGCATATCCCTGCCTGACCCCAGACCTAAACAGTAGCTCAAGGAGGTGAATGAGATTTTCAGCACCTTGGAAAGCGCTAGGCACCGACTACCGGTTTTGCCAATTTTGTTGCAATAGCGTTGCTGGATCCAAGCTGCTGAACTCACCCCGAACACCTTGGCAGGGAGATGGAAAGGGCCGGGGGCTGCACCTAGGCATGCACAAAATGCGATGTTATAACCGCCACTGGGGTTTTGCTGTTTGTGTATTCAAAACTTCATTGCAGCTGCCCTGAGGTAGGCAGACAGGGAAGCAAAGCGATTTTTGCGCTCTTATAATATTACACGGGGGAATCAGTGTGGCAAATGTACGCTTTCCAAATGGATTGATCTCCCCTTATTACAACCCCCACCCCTCAAACTTAATGCTGTGGAGGAGCGAACAGGAACTGGACTCAGTGGCAGTTGGAAATGTTGCTAGGAGGCTGTGAAGAGGCCTTGCTGCTGTTAGCCGAGGATTAATAGGCGTGTGTGATTTCAAATGAAAAGAAAACAACAAGCTCCCCTGAGATCCCCAGTGCAACGTACTCCTGCTGGTGCACATTATCCAATACACGCACACACACACCCTGGCAACCTCCCACTAATCTTAGAGGAAGAACCTGGCTCCCTTTGCCAAGGTTTTGGATCCCTGCTGCATGCATCACCACCGAAGCAGAGTCCCCTTCAGAGGCAGATCTCTGCAGATCACTTGGCCAGGGAGCTGGTTCTGAGATTAAAAGCATCTGCCCCTTTCACAACACAATGATGGCCCTTCTCTTCATTTACTGCCTCACTCTCCCCCCACAATATATAT